TTTGACCAAGAAAACCAACCTTTAAGACATCAACCTCCCACCACAAGCTCCATAAGATGATTAGATGATCCCCATGTCCATCCAGGCAATACCTCAACTTAACTGAATATTTATATGGGCTCCCTATGGCTGCTGTAACAAGTTACCATAAACTTAGTGGCTTAAAATAACACAGATTTACTATCTTGAAGTTCAGGGAGTCAGAAGGCTCAAATGGGTCCTATAAGCTAGACTCAAGGTGTCAGCAGGACTGCATTCCTTCTAGAGGCTCTAGGGGAGAACCTGTTTCCTTGTGTTTTCCAGTTCCTGGAGGACGCCCGCATTCCCTGGCTTGTGGCCCCTCCTTTATCTTCAAAGTGCATCACTCCTACCTCTGCTCCTGTTGTCACTCCTTCTCCCTCTCCAGCCCTCCTGCCTTTCTCTTAGAAGGGCCCTTGTGATTACACTGGGGCCATGTGGATAAACCAGGATAATCTCTCCATGTCAAGATTCTTAATCACATCCGAAAAGTCCCTTTTGCCATGTAAGGGGGTATATTCACAGATTCTGGGGATCACGACATGGACATCTTTGGAGGACCAACATTCTGTCCACCACAGCATTTTCTAGATCCCAGCATGTTATCTGAATTACACCTCTTAACAGCTAATCCCCACAACAACAACCTATAAAGTATATACTATTTTAATAAATCCTAATTTTACAATTGTTCAAAGGGGCCAGGAGAGGTAAAGTGAGATAGTAAAAATAGTAATAATAATAATTATAACATTTATTGAGTGGCTACTACATATCAGACATTATTTTAAAGGCTTTCCATGTACTCATCTATCTCATCTTCCCCCAAAACCCTATAAGGAAGGTACTATTACAATTCCCCTTCTACAGAGGAAGAAACTGGGGCACAGAAAGTTACATGGCCTCTAAGTCAGTAGCCCCGGGCAGTGCTCAGTGTCTTTGGCACAGAGGTCATTCATTCACTCACATCCATCATGACGTGCAAGAAGAGTGTAGAATGCACAGTGTTTCCCAAACGTTTTGGCCATGACTACCTTTTTCATGGGGACATGTACAGGGACTAGGATGAAGTGACCCCCTTGGAGAACGGTCGCAGCTACAGGTGAAATAAGCCTTCCTTCCATTGACACAGCCTTTCTCCAGATGGACAGGTGTAATGAAGGAGGTGTCCACTCACTGACCCACACTCCTGCCCCAGCCCCACTGCCCTGGCCTCTCCCTCAGGAGGCACCAGCAGCTGCGGTCACCACAGCTCTTAGCGAAGGGCCCCCGCCTTGGGCCATGTTTCCATGGGGAGACATCCATCATACTATGCTCTGGGCCTCACTCCCCACCTCCTACCCGACTGGTGAGATCCTGCATCAAATGGAGATGATGTATTAAAAAGGGAAACAGCTCCACGGACTGTCTTCCCTCTTGGTCCCCGCTGGGTGAGTGTAATTCTGCAGATCCAACAATGCCTCACAGTGGGGGTCCCTGGGTCTACACCTGGGAGGCAATGTATTGGGGAATGTGATTCTGGCTTCAGGTCAAGCTGGAGTTTCCAATCAACTGACAGTAATAAAAATGTTATTTTGGGGGCTTCCCTGGTGGTGCAGTGGTTGAGAGTCTGCCTGCCGATGCAGGGGACGCAGGTTCAAGCCCTAGTCTGGGAAGATCCCACATGCCGCAGAGCAACTAGGCCCGTGAGCCACGACTGCTGAGCCTGCGCGTCTGGAGCTTGTGCTCCGGAACAAGAGAGTCCGCGATAGTGAGAGGCCCGCACACCGCGATGAAGTGTGGCCCCCGCTCGCTGCAACTAGAGAAAGCCCTCCGACAGAAATGAAGACCCAACACAGCCAAAAATAAATAAATACAATTTTTTTTTAAAAAATGTTATTTTGATCACTTTTTGTCTGATTCCTACATCGGTGTTTCATAGAGAATTTGGGGGGAAAGAATAGCCATGATAACCTCAGAACTGAAACAAAGTTACCTACTAACCTCTTAAAGTTTGTCAACAGTCTATTCTAAAGGTTCATTTTAAGTTGATTTTTTTTTTCTTAATCCTGAAGGCACTTCCCACAACAACTATGAATATAATGATCCCAATATAGCCCTCAGCCATCTATTCAGCCCCGAAGGCATTTGGGGCTTAAATGACTTTTCACTCTTTCCCCTACTGATGAGCTCAGTTTCGTAAACCATCTGTCATCCAAAAGACAGAAAAATCTTTATCCTCAAACTAAAAGGCTTCTTTCGTGGAAAATGCATTCTGAATTCCCACCTGAATTTGGGAAGCTAGTACACATCTCTATGTCCACCTAACGTCAGGAGCCAAGGAAATCCTGGATCAGAAAGAAAGGACTCTCCCTCTCCAACCTCTCCCTGCCCCTGCTCCTCCAACTCCCCAGAAACCCCAAGCCCCCCCTAGCCTGGCCAGGACACCCCAAGCTACCAAAGCCTGACAAGGGCACCCCAAGGCATCCCAACCTGGCCAGGGCACATACTCAATAGTTTTCAACAAACTGAGTCAGCATCTGGCTGGGGTTGAGGAATGAGTCCCAATTCCTTTGAGTAGTAGATGACACACTTAAAAATTAGGTGAAAGCTCTGGAAAGGCCAGAGTGCAATTTTTGAAAGCATGCCTTTTAATGAGGCTGCTTCCTAGTGTCTGGCATACAGCTGGTGTTCACGAATATTACTTAAGTGGAAGAAGGAATAAACTGCAGGACTTAAACAAGCAAACGCAGGGCATCGGTCAGTATGTGCCTGCATCTGAGGGCTTTCATAAAGACCTCCCACTAAGGATGACTCACAGATAAGGTAAATGGTCTTAAACAACCCAGTAAGAAACGGAGGGGTAAGGGACAGCAAAGAAGTAGCAAAATGTGCTTCATTATCTCTGCTCTGTTCCATTTAAGGGCTATCTCATACCTAGCTTTGGCTCAGAGCATTCAGGCTGGGTCTTAGGAAAAGGGACTCTGGCTGCCGTGAGAAACCATTCTGTATGCTGTAGGTTCTGTGTACCCGTTTTGGGGGGACTCACTCCAAAAATGCTCCTACTCAGAAATGTACTTTATAGTATTGTGGTTTTTAAACCAAATGCAAGCCCAGTGGTGCTTCCCACACCCTCTGGTTTAATTTTCTTACTGCATCAAATCAAAGCTCTGTGTGGTTAGAGTGTAGATTTCTCAAAAGGTGATGGCGTGGTCCACGGATCAGCTGCAGGAGAGTCATGTATCTAGACGTGCGAATCTAGAGCCTCAACCCAGATCTCCTGAGAAGCATATTTAATAGGCGCCCCAGGAAAAGCCTCTGCACACTAGTTTAAGAACTTCATAAGGCAAAGAAGAGGGATTTGGAAGAAAATAACCCAAATTCATTTCCACCCCAGATCCATGGACAAGCCCCCTTAAGCTCTCCTGAGGCTCCAATAATGAATTTTTTTAAATAGAGGGAAAATACCTACTCATCACAGCGTTACTGAATCAAATGTGAATATACTTGAACTTCCTTGGAAAGCGTAAAGGGCTAAACATATACTATTCATTTGAAACATATAGTGAATGGAATGAATGACTGTAAAAGCCAGGTGCTGGGGGAACAAAACTGAGAAGAAGTGAAAAGGCAGAAGGCCAGGGCAGACATAACTCCACGTAATGAGATGGGTTCCGGGAGACACGAGTAGTATCTGTATGAAAAGGGTGATGAGCCCTCACGTCAAGACACGATTAACTCTGCAATGGTAACCCCCAGACTGGTAACTGTTACAGACCTAGCAGGAATGAGGCAAGGCATGTTATCCAAAAAAAAAAAAAACCAACATGTTGAACCTGATCGAGTACAAAAGCTCCAAAGAAAATTCAAGTCTTTATGATATTGCTACGCAAGCCAAATCCAGACTCCAATCTTATCTCTCTCTCTCTCTGACACAGAAAAATAACTACCATTGACTGAGCACCAACTATACACCGGGTGCCATACTAGAAGCTTTGCAGTCATTGTTTCGGAAAATCCCCACAACAGTCCTCGTGACACTGGTGTGATTTCCTCTTACACTGGTGTGGCGTTTCCTCTTCCAGATGGCAAAGTAACTCCAAGAGGTCAAGTCATGGAGGGTGCACCTGAAGTCAAATCCAGGTCTGGTTGACTCCCAAGACCTGTGAGCGTGGAGCATCCACCTCTCTGTTAAAATGTCCACACTCTGCGAGCTCATTTTTAAGAAAATCTTGTAATGGTCAGTTGGTTGAAGTTTGCAAGACCCTTGAGCCAAAGTTAATTAACTATCCCTTCTTCAGGCTGACCTGAGAAACATTTTAGTAGAGGCATGACAGCTAAAGTGCAGGCAAGCTGCACAGGGAGGAAGCATATAGCACTACTTTATTTAGTGAGATCTTGGTCAAACGATCATTTTTCTATCTACCTGTATTTCTGATTAAGAGTATTAATAATAACAGCTAAAATCTACTCAGTACTCACTCTATGTAGGCATTATGCTAAGATGTCTACATGGACTGCCGCATGGGGTAGGCACTGTCAACTAACCTCATTCTACAGATGAGAAAACTGAGGTACACAGAGATTAAGAAATTTAACCAGAGCTGGGGTTGGCGCCTGATCAGCCTAACTCCATAGCTCTGATTCTCCGCCACTCTGACGTTCTGTTGCTTTCACCCCTGGCCTGATGTGACTCAATCGTGCTGAAGGTTCACTACCTTGCAAATGTTTCAAGACTCTAGACATAAAACTCCCTAAGTACACAAACTGATACAGTATTGCTAATAATCTGGCAAGTAAGTCTTATAATATTATGCATTTAGCAAGAATACAGAGCAGGGTTTTCCATTTAATTGATTTTCTGGAACCCTAGCCAGCCCCGTTCTTCTAATTCATCTGCACGTGCACACATCCCATGCTGAGTGTCTGCTATGCCAGGCACTGGGGCGATGAAGATGAAAAGGTGTAGCCCCCTCCCCACCCAGGCTCCCTCTGCCCCTCACCTTCAGCTGTTTGACCTTCTCTTTTCAGCATCTGGACAGCTCCCACGTATTTCTTCAGTTGGACTTTGAGCACCTCGTTTTCTCTGCAGGTACAAGAATGTTAGAAAAATATATTTAAAAATTGGCAACTTAGACCCAAGGAAGGAGGAGAATCTGTGTAAAGAAAAATACACAACGTGCATCTTATAAATATTAATATATTCTCTGTTTTAGAGATCATCGCTGGAAAAGACTATGTTAGCAAAGGCACGTTTGCAGAATGCCTTCGAGAACTGTTCATTCGTGATGGAAATAAGCATTAATTGGTTGCGGTGCCCACAGATTCAGGATGCTGACATGTGTTGCCCTCAGGCTATTTGAATCAATCTGTTAGATGCCTATTCTGTGCCAGGCACTCTGTAGTATCCTATCCATTTACAGAAGCACATAATAGGTACTGTTTACTTGGGGAACACTCAGTATTTTTATTAACTACTCCATGTATCGAAAACTTCTTATTTGCCAGGCATCACGTGAAGTCTTTAAGTATCTCATTTAATCCTTCCAAGATATATATTATCACAACACCCACTTTACAGATGAGGAAAGTGAGGTATAATGAGGAGAAGTGGCTGACCAACTCCAGCGGTACCCCATGTAAGACTGCAGAATGAAACGTGGAACTCAGGCGATGACAAGACCCCGCTCTACTAAATTCACTCCCCAGGTACCCCAGCTGTGGAACAGGACATGAGGGTCAGAGAGAAAACTACCATTTGTTGAGTATTTACCCACATAGCTCAGACTTTACACATGTGACCTCACTGAATCAAGCACACGTGTATTCATTCACCCATTCTTCATTCGATGGTAACACTGAATAATGTTAAGTACCTAACGATATGTTAGGCACAATGACCCTGTAGAATTCTCCTCATTTTGCAGGAGAAGAACTGGGGCATGGAAAAGGTCACATGGCTAATGCCAAGGTCATACGTAAGGCACACGGCCCGGACACAAGCCCAGGTCTCTCTGCCTTCTCTGTCTCTTTTGGGATTCAGAACTGGTTTCTCACTGGCTACTCCAGAGACAGGTGCCTCTTCCACATCTTTTCTTCCTGCTCCTCCCCCAACAAGGTCTTGAGCCTGTGTGCTCTTACACATGCTGGAATATTTCCTCACAAAGAAAAGAGCTTTAAGATTGGATGTCTTTTATGATTATAAAAAATAAAATGCTCATTGCAAAATACTCAGACCATCAGAACACATTTAAGAAGAAATGTAAAAAATCCACTAAAAATTCAACACCTTGAAATAAACCCCACTATCATTTTTCTATCTGTCCTATCAGCTCCCTCTCTAGGCATGCACACACATACACACACACACTGTATATAATTGTTCACAGATGAAACACCTTTCATACTCTTCTAAATTTTTTTGTTTGAAGTCTTTTTTCCTTTGTTTACTGTCACACTCATCCTTCCCCATGGTAACCAACGTTAAAAACCTGGTACACACATTTCACGCCTCCTCCATGCTCACATAGTCACTACAAACCTGGTACACTTAAACAGAGTTTACTTTATGAAACCAGACCCTATTATAAATTTTTCTGCTACTGGCTTATCTCATTTAACAATTCACCACGGTAAGCTTCTGACTCCATCTATTTATGGATGGAGATGCCATTCCCTGGTACGAATACGCCACACATTTGCTCAGTGGAAAAACTGCAGATTGCCCATCACAGGTTCTGTCTGTCTTCGATGCACCTGACTATACCTCAGCCCACAGAGACAGCACTTTGTGTTTTGCTTTTCTGCCCTGTATTTGTCAGAAAGAACATAAGTACCAACTGCAGACACTACCATATACTTAGGTGTCGCCTGAGATCTGTGCATTCATCTCAGAAGCTTGAGAGAAAGTAAAACATGGAGTCCCTTAACTATCGCCCTCCTCCTAGATAGCCTGTTACAGGTGTTTCTATCCGTGGCCGCACTTTCTCTGTGATACGAAGAGTGAACGTCTGAAGCTAAATAACTAACAAGTCTTGAGAAGGTTTGTGGGAGGGAAAACACTCCCTGATGGACATGCTGGTACAGCTGGTTTTCTTGGATCCCCTAAGCCAGATCTTGTCATTCATCCCAACCTGCTGCTAATCCCCACATGTGAATCCCAGGCACATAGTACCTTAAAACAAGGGAGAGAAAGCAACTCATGTGCATTTCTGTATGGCCTAATTTAACAACGGTTCATGCAGAATGTTGTCCGAGAGGCAGAAGAGGCAGGATCATTCAGGCAGACTGACAGGTCTGGGTCGTGTCCATGTCTGGCTACCAGGTCTCAGCTCGTTTGCTCACACCATCCAGGCCCACCCTCAGCTGCCTAGTTCACCTTCAACTCTGTAGCCAGCACTAAGGTATTCAAGTGACTGCTTTTCTTCTGGTTTGGAGCCATCTTTTAATAGCATCTTACGACTATCTAAATATCAGACCTAACAGATAAAGACCAAAAACTTTAATACAAATCCAACTTCCAACAAAATGATGAGATATCATGGAGAATATACCATGGACGGACACCTTTAGGAACATAAATTCATCCCAGCCAACTTTGTGCCAATGAACTTGTTTGCCTTTTATGGGAAATGAACTTTCAGGTCAGTAGAACTGCTCCTGACTCAAACACCTGGAGGGTACACTGACCACCCCAAAGAGGCAACTAGCTCCTGACCCCAGGCAAGATGAGGCCTTTTATGTTTTAATTTTTATTTTGAAGTAATTATAGATTCAGAAAGTTGGAAAGATATTACTGAGAGATCCTGTATACCCTCGGCCCAGCCTCCCCCAATGGTTACATCTTCCGTAACTAGGGTCCGATGGCAAATCCAGGACTCCGACACGGTCACATCGTGTGTGTAGTTCTATCCAGCCTGGTATTTTAACTGATGGTTATAACAATCTGCGATGGGATACAGACTCAGATGACCAGAGCAGGCAGACAGATGAGGACCATGAGTAACGCAAACCAGCCATAAGACAAGAGGGTCTAAGGGGTGGGAGCTGTGGCCAACCAGAGAGTTGTGGTCCCACCAAAAGGTATTTTTTAAAAACGTAACATGTTAATGGCCCAAGAAAATAATTCCCAGGCTCTGAACGACTAATTTGCAACCAGCAACAGGACTTTAATTTGTAGACAGAGGACCATATAGAATGTTCCATTCCTGGTGATCAAGTAAGAATGCCATTTTATTTGCCACCTCATGATACAACAGGATGGGTCAATAGTTAAGAGCATCCTAACTATGAAAGGCCTCAGAAACCCTCCGAGTGTGTGAACGAGATCAGGATTGTGGCTGAGGCTCATCCCAACAGGGGTCTTCAACCCAGCTAAGAGGGACGATGAGGCTGCTATGCGGCAGGGCCCCCCTCCGCCTGCTCCCCTCTGGGGGGAGGCACCGCCCACCTCCACGAGCCTGGGAGGATGAGACCTCTGCGGGAGGCAGCACAGATGCCTGCAGCCCCGTGAGCCAGATCTTAGGGCAACTCTCTCTTCACTTCACGCGGTGTCCTCCTCCCCGGCTCTCGGGAGTACACAGCCCAGGTGATCACCCATGACACCTGGCTCTTTCTGCAACCAATGGAGTCTTTTAATCAAATCCTAACACTCCATCTGGAAAACCATCTAGAAAAGCTGGGGGAAGGGGTGCTTTGTTGAAAAGGAACTGTCAGTGCTCAGAACAGCTGGGCTTTCCCCAAGGATTTAGCCTTTCAGCTGCAATTTCCACATCTGCCTCAAAGGAGGATGTGGATGGGGGATGCCCTCAGCGACTGCTTTACAAGGCTGAAGATGAGAAAGCCATGGGGCGAGGGGGGATGGGGATGGGGTCCAGTCTTTATTTCATGGCCCAGGCAACTGCGTGGGAATCCAACCCCACTAGGGAAGATAACCCTGCAGAAACACCCCTCCCCGCCGCCTCTTTAGTAATCATCCAGTTCTTTCAACTCTGAAGGGCAGTGGGATCCAACTTCCTCGCAGTTCAATGAAAGGAGAAAAAACGCCAAGAGAATGAACTAAAACAGAATCTCCCAAACGTGGTACATGCCCGAGATCATTTAAGGGGTTCACAAAACTTTTTCTATTTTAACACTTAAGCATTTCTTCCGGTATGTTTTTTAAAAACCGATTTTCCATCAATGGCAGTGATATAAAGAATCCTTTGGAGGGGCTTCCCTGGTGGCGCAGTGGTTGAGAGTCCGCCCGCCGATGCAGGGGACACGGGTTCGTGCCCCGGTCCAGGAAGATCCCACATGACGCGGAGCGGCTGGGCCCGTGAGCCATGGCCACTGAGCCTGCGCGTCCGGAGCCTGTGCTCCGCAACGGGAGAGGCCACAACAGTGAAAGGCCCGCGTACCCCCCCAAAAAAAAGAATCCTTTGGAAAGAAACGTGAAGGCTTTCAAAAGTGAGTGGACTGAAAGACAAATATTAAGGAATGAGTAACATGGGCGGTACACACGAAGACGGTACACGTGAAGGCACTGCACAGCGACAGATCTGAGGAAGAGAATCTTTGCTTTACATAAAATAAGGTTATAAGGAGAAGATATTTTCTTACAGTGTACTTCCCACACTGTATTCCCGGGGATGACAAACGGCTCTCAGGCAGGGACGGGAGAGTAGAGTTAAGTATGTTTAGGAAACGATGGCGCTAATCAACATTAGGAAAGTTCCCTCTCCCTCCCCCTCCTCCCCAGGGCTCCTCAAGCCTTTAATATATTTATGTACACTGACCACCTAAACTCCTCAAACCTCACAGTTTGTGAAATGCTGCATTTTCGCCTTGGGCACAGCCCTCTATGAGCGGGAGAGAAATCTCGGTGGAAAAGAACCACGTCTATGTTAGAAAAACACTGCCCACGTGGACTGTGGCAGAGGTGGGCATTTGAGATGTTTATACCTCCTTGAAATCCCTCTGTGTGAGTTAAGAAGTGAGAAGCAGTTCAGTGCCAAGACCTCCTACGGGTAAAACTGGGGCCTCATTCAAAACCTCCCTACATGTGTAATAGGAAATATGCTTTTCTACCCACAACACGAGAGTATC